CTGAATTGTGGGTAGCAGAGCGGAGCTTTCCTGGCGTTTCAGGCTGCAAAAGTTGAACAATGTTCAACTTCTGAAGCAAGANCTGTCAGATGGAGGGAGTAAATACAGCGGCAAGCTTTGGGACAAACTCTCCTCTCTCCGGCAGAAACAGGAAATGTCGTAACTGTGTGTAACAACGGTTTCAAATCAGCATCTCTTAGACAACATTTTAAAACCGTTGTTACACACAGTTACGACATTTCCTGTTTCTGCCGGAGAGAGGAGAGTTTGTCCCAAAGCTTGCCGCTGTATTTACTCCCTCCATCTGACAGGAGGGAGCCTCGTTGAGCTGCGAGTGTCACTCCACGGAGTCCGTCACGGAGGGGGAGTGTGTAGGGGTAGGGTAGGGTGTCCAGGGCGTGGTTTGGGATTGGGCCACATTGTACGTGATGCGCTAAAGGGCGGGACATCAGAGCAGACTAGACTCTGGTTTCAGACAGAGGGTGAAAGGACGTGCTTCAGCACAGGCAGTATGAGAACAATAACATGTCACAGTAGAGGTATACAATACAAATGTTTAACCTGAAAATGAGCATAAAAGGGCCCCTTTAAACGTGGTTAATACTCAAATGATGAGAAAGCAGCTGCTTCTCACAGAAAAAGTTATTCTGAAAACACAGCTCTAAGGTGGGTCGAAACTCAAAAAATCCAGTGACTGTTGACTTTTTACTGACCCCGGTTAAGACATCCTTTTTTTCTAAATATTTGTAGTTTTGGTAATGACAGGTGGAGCACATGAAGCTCCACCTCCCTCTTTACAACTCCCACAACCTTTCTTTGGAACATTTTGCAATTCTCTGAACTTCTCACATAAATCAGCAGCTAAAAAGTTTCCAGCAGAACGCCTGTCCTCCTCCCTGCAGCGATGCAATTATTTTTGACGTACAACTTAAATAAATATCTACTGGTTCCTGCTTGTTATTCTTTGAAAAAGATGTTGTTTATTTTATTTTTAGAATATTGGTAATATGTTTTCATTTGACAACTGTGCCTATTAGAAATAATACCTTTTATATGCCACACCCCCTCTTTTGAGAAGACATCAGATGGGAATTGATATGATCCTACAGCTTAATGTTAAAGGATCTTAGCTCTCTATTTTACATTGAAAACAATTAAGGTTTAGACAATTATTGTTATCTACATATCAATATGGATAAAAAAAAGGCCTCCAAATCTTGACTGACACAACCACATGTAAGGTTATCTATTATGTGATATTTTTTACTCATTATCGGATGTGCGCGTGCACTGAATCTTGGGGTGGAGTTAGGATAGGGGTTTTAGCCTGGTTGCATCCACCTGCTCACTTTGATTTTGTATGGAATAGATGGGGGTATGAGTGAGAGAAATGTTTCTGTTGACCGCATTTATACTTAAATGTCTATCTCAATTTCCTGACATTTTTAACTGCAATCAACATAAATTAAGATAAGATGGTACTTTATTGATCCCAATTTGGGAAATTGTTGGAAACATCACAATCTCCATCCCACTGCAATACCACTTTATTTTTCTTTCCATATTTAGCCCCTCATGGCTTTTTTGGCTGCCTATAGCCGCAATAGAATAAATCAATGTTAAACAATGTCTTTATTATTAATTAAATCAACTGCTGTTTGGTTACACAGATGAGTTGCTACTTTAGTTTAGTTTGACTTCCACTTATGCTCATTTTCGCTGTTCTCATTGAACATTTATTTAGACATTGGTGACTATTGATACATGATTTTCAACTGATTATCTGTTTCCATTTTTAAAAAACAACTAATAAGCATGGAGATGGGGAAAACCTTCTCTTTCGCTTTCATTCTTGACTGACTTTGCTCTGGGATGATGGAATGGGGGGGGGAGCCGGGGGTCGTGGCCCGTGGCCTCGGTCAGTGACTCACTGTTGTGTTTTACCTTTACATACATGATCAACCTAAGAACAACACCCTGGGGCTGCATCTCAACATATACTCTGTGTGATCTTTAACATTTGACATAATGTTCATGATGTGGGCTATTTTATGCATCATACATGCTTAACCCGGTAAGCGGCGTTCATCTACTCCAGCAATGCTTTTTAAATAACACAACAGCATTTCTAAATGCCCTCCGAGTGTCCTCCCATAACGAAGAATGAAATAAAAATAGAAAGCGGTGGAAGGAACCCTCCTCTATGTGTCTTTAAATGAGCATTAAAAGCCAATAAGCGGTTCCTTAAGACCTTTAACCTGTCCTCTGGGTATTCCCTCTGTTTTTGCCCCACATCAGGGGGGGAAAAGGCGGGAGTGACTGCTTCGGTTGGTTAGTCATTATGGAGCTGCAGCAGCAGATTTCCTGATTAAACAAGCATGCACTAATCACTAATGGAGCTGTGCTGCAGGATGGAATCAGGAGGATGTCAAAAGAATAACCGAACAAGTGAAGGAGAATGAGGAGGATGCCACAGGCATGAGTCACCCCTTTATTTCCTAATTCCACAACTTCAGGAGATGGCAGCCAACTAATGCACTCAGTGTTGGTTTTGCTCTGTTTACATACATTTTCATTAAGTCAGGTAATCACACAAAGTCTCAAACTGTGCTAAATATTGTTGTGGTGGCACAGAGAACATCCTACTTACTGTATGTGCTGTGTAATCTAAGTGTGTGTATTTACGGGCTAAACATTTTTTTCCTTTTTTTTATTCACTCAGTGCTCTGGGAGGATCCTCAGCACTCCATATCCCAGCATTCCCCAGTGGAGGATGCCTAATTGACTACGTCCCTCAAGTGTGCCAGTTACTCAACAACAAGGTCAAACTTTACTTTTACTGCATTATTTGTCACCAGGGATTGGCAAAAAAGGTATTAAAATATACTGTCAAGAAAGAAATATTTCCTCTCATATGACTATACTTTACATAAATAGTAGCATGTGTATGTAATGTGTTTTGCTTGAAGTAAGTAGTAGTTTTCTTAATTTTTTTTTCACGTGAATTTGCACATCTTAAAAATATTCTTATACCTTATGACTGCATCTGCCAGTTATCCACCATGATATTACATTAGGCACAAACATATGTTAATTTCACTAGAGAGCGGCAAAAATGAGTCGTCAATAAAAATACAAAATAGTTGCCAATATTTTTTATAATCGATTTATCATTTAAGTACTTTTCAATGTTAAAGTATTTATTTCAGCCTCTTGAATATGAACATTTCCTGCTTTTCTCTGAATATCTTTGGGATGGCACTGTGAAAGCGAGACATTTAAAGACATGAACTTGAACATTGAAAAACTGGGATAGACATTTTAAAAAATGTTAGCTGATATTTTTAAATCAATTATTAGTTGCAGCCCTATTCCATTACAGGAGATAAAGTCCAAAAATATCAACATCCCTTACCCTTAATATCTATTTTAGTAAAGCGCAAGATCTCTCTCTCTCTTTGTTTCTGTGTGCATTTATTGCATATTTGTAAGTTTGGTGCAGTGAAGCCCGTGTCCACTGAGTTATGTCTCAAGCTGTATTCGTGTGTGTTAATGTGTGTATGGGCACTCATGCACACGTGTCTGGCATCTGCCGGCGTGGGCGTGCTGGCCGTCCTCCACCAGTCGTCTGAACGCTGCTTGGCCTCCGCAGGTTGACAGGTAGATATGCAGTGTAGACGCCATGTAATGCCATTTCCCTCAGGAGAAATGCCCATCCCCCGCTACACACACATATACCCTCCATCAATTTATGTTTACCTGGCCTGAGACCATCATACTCAGGGTGTCCCTGCCTGACCTCCATCTCTCTGGGAGTTTCAGTTCAGCAGTGTCTATACCGCTCCCTCCACTTACCATCCGTGAGAGGAACAGTTGAAAGCGTGTTAAAGCTGTGTCAGTTACACTTTTTTTATAATTACGCAATAAAACATACAGTTCGTTACAACTGTGTAATTACAGGGACACTCCTATATTAAATAACCTAGCATCTGCATCATTCGAAAATTACACATGAACATTAGCTCCATGCTGATTGGCCCTGAGGGGTTTACAGGCATAGAGAGGTGAAGTCCCTCCCTTTCCGGTGGACCTCCATGGGACCTTATTTCGGAAAGATTATGTATAGAGAGGCGAAGTCCCTCCCCTTCCGGTGGGACTCATGGGACCTTATTTCGGAAAAAGTTTGTATTGAAGTCAACGGAGAGAGAAAGATAATCTTTTGATCCCGTTTGAATTGTGCCATGAATTACACATATGATGTTTGTCAATCTTAAATAATCATTTTCATGTCAAAAAAGTCACAGTTTGTCGTAAAACTGTTGAAATATAAGACTATGCAAAAATACGCAACTAGAAAGACTACAAATCCCAGAATCCCGGTCCTGACTAACTCCCCTTTTGTGTATGTACAGCTCTCAACATGCCCAGACTTGTAGTGATTTTCACCTCTTTTAATACTTTCCGCCTCATTCTGAAAGAAAAAAGTGAAATATGCCAACGTGACGGCCGTCTTGGTGTGTGGTGCGAGACGGGAGATGTAGTTCATTGAGCGGTTTCACACAAAAAAAGTGTTACTTCACAGTTTTACGACACATTTTTATTTTTTTGACTTGTAAAATTATCTTTTAAATTGACAAACATCATATGTGTAATTCGTGGCACAAGTGAAACGGGATCGAAAGGAATTTTCATACGTAACTTCAGTTACCTCTCT